TATAAAACTCAACTAAAAGTATCAAACCAAAATATCCAAAATATCATGTCCTTCTTATTCTGGAAATGCAGTCCAGAGCAATAGTAAATTTGGACGGCACTGAGTTTGATTAGGCTGGTGTTCGCCTTAGGCCCTAGCTTGGCAGTGAAGAGATACGTGACTCAGAATATTTATTTAGTTTGACATAAATTCTCAAAACATTAAAATACTCATTATCAAAAGTTAAAATTTTACATGGCAAAGGAAAAAGGAATGGCTTGAGGTCATGATTAATTCTAAATTATCTCACGGTACATCAGCTTGGAGCAAAAGATTCAAATTTAAAGATAGAGATATAAAAAAGAAATTTATTTTTTTGAGACCAGTAATATACAGAAAATAAAGCTCTTTAATTTACGCCATTTACCCTCTGCTTCTAAACGTGTGAACCACTACTTTCACAGGAGTATCCAACTGAATCGTAAGCTCCTATCTGCATCTAAGAAATGATGGCAACATATTCCTATTGACGAGTCGACATGAGAGGACTGAAGGAGAGTTGGAAGCCAAATGATTGGAGCAATCCTCCATCATTTTTGCTGGCAGCAAAGATGAATCTATTAAAGCATTGGAGCAGGGCCTGGTATATTTCTACAAGTTTCGTGGCATCTTAAAATCTAAGATTCCCTCTGTTACTGTCTAATATTAAAATACAAAAGATAAATTTCTTTGGTGAGTATATTAAAGCATTGGAGCAGGGCCTGGTATATTTCTACAAGTTTCGTGGCATCTTAAAATCTAGGATTCCCTCTGTTACTGTCTAATATTAAAATACAAAAGATAAATTTCTTTGGTGAGTGGGCTTTGTTTTATTTTTCATTTTTTTTCTGGCCCAGAAGCTCTTTTTAAATCAAAATACTCTTAGAAGAGTTAACATATCAAGACAATATTAATTATTAATATCTTTTCATGGATCGATGAAATAATTCTTATGAATTTAAGAATGAGGTGGGACAAAGGACAAGAATATTTTGATCTGGGAGGGAGTAAGCCTGAATTTGCCTTTTCTGAAATCTTTTCCTGTTTACCTCAAGGGAAACATAAATTATTTCTCGCATCATTCTCATGCATCTTGCATATGACTATACTATAAGGTTAAATACATTATATAACATGTATTCCAGTAGTATGTTCTCACCTCCATACCTCCCACATTCAAACTGATGCCATCAAGGATGGAGACCGTGCCTTTGCCCCTCCTTCCACTCCCCAGTCTCTAGCTCAGTTATTGGCATGTGGAACACATGCAATCATTGCTTATTAAACCTAAGTCATTACATTTATTCTACAACCATTTTTTAAAACAATAGTTTGAATTTAACATCTTTTAACAGACAAATCAAACATTAGGAGTAAAATAATTTCACTCCCTTCTAAGGTCAGTGATAAAGTCCGTACATTAGTATGAGGGTTGCAGAATAAGTCTTCATCATAATCTGACTTTGGTTTCTATCATCAGATGTGTTCTCAAACCTTACCCCCTCCCACCCAGCTCACAGGTAATAGTATACAGGGAAGAATATAGCTGCCTCTCCTGAGCACCTCTGTTTGCAATACTCACTTGCCAGTCAATTTATCTTTAGAGTTAGTATTGTTACTCAGATGACAGGAAAATCAATATCACTCTCAGTAAGAGAAAGCCCCATTTGGTGCTGGTAACAACGCCTGGTGGGTGATGGAGTAAGAGAGCAAGAAGGCTCGCTTGAGGCATAACCGGCAGTCATAAACTATGTTCAATACAATTTTGAATCAAATTAACATTTTTGATTAAATATCTAATATTACTTGGTGGTTCTAATATAAAGGCATTTAAAAATACTTCTAAAGCAATTTCTCTCAGAAGGTCAAAGTGACTGATGAATGTTAGTGTATTGATTCCCAAAATATCACTATGAGAACTTCGAAAATTAGAAACAAAGTAAGAAGGAAAAAGAGAATCACTTGTCCCATGTCAATGGCTTGGCTGGAATAAATCATGTATTTTCTGCTGGAATTGCTCAACTCTTGATTTTCCACATGAAAGAAGTCTCCAAAGGAAATATAGTCTTTCAGTATACCAGGAACATGGCTCTGAGCCGTCCTAATATTTTTTAAAACACAACTCTTGGCTTCTAATAAGCAACATGTTGAGCATTAAACATATTCTGAAACCACAGCTGACAATCGGCACAGCATATATGAGTTATAACATTCATTCAATCATTTGACTGAGAACTTTTATCGAGCATAACATGTTCTATGCAGGGGCCTATATTAGGTGCCAGGAAAACGAGGTAATCAAAATAGATGCCTTTCCCTCATGCAGCTTACAATCCAGAGGGAGAAAAAGCCAATGAGTAAGTGATGCCATGAATAACGTGCTATTACAATTCTGAAAAGAGCTAGAAATCAAGGTACTAAGAAGGGGTGTGGTAGTTCCCCAAACCCGGATTAGTGGGAGAAGAGGAGGCCTGTGTGAAGAACGTGGCTCTCATCCAAGAGAAGTGACTTTCCTTGATGTGAAAAATAGGAAAGATTGTTAAATGGACACAAAATTATAGCTAGATAGGAAAAATAAGTTCTAGTGGTGTACAGGAGTGCCAGGCATCTATAATGAACAAAAATTCATTGTATGTCCTCAAATGGCTAGAAGAGAAGAGCTCAAATGCTCTCATCACAAGGAAGTGACAAAT